AGAGAGAGAGGGGTCGTATGTGCCTTTAAGAGAAATTCGCCATTCGCTGCCTTGAAAAAAATTTTCTTCGGTTGGTGACTTTTCGTGATTTTTCTTCGTGATTTTTCCTGTTTCATGTGTACTATGTACTCCCCTATACCCCTCCCCCCTATATCCTCTCTCCACAGCAAACTTTTTGGAGAAGTCAAAGAAAATCCTCGGTAAACTCCGGAGAAAGCAGTAGGAAGTTGGGAATGATTTAAGAAATTTTCTCGTTTCACACTGGCTATTTCCCTCCCCCCCCTCGCTCGACGGGGCATTTTTGGGTGAAGAACAGGACTGGAAAAGTGGGAAATTGGTAGGTATGTTTGGGGAAGGAGAGGGAGGTCGTACCTTCACTACCATTTCACTCATCACGATGCTCTACCCTGAACAGAGTGGTCTGCACAAGCCTGGCTTGTCGCGAGTATACCTAGGTGCCCCTACCAAAGAGAAGAGGGGCGAAATAAGTCTTTTATAATTATGTTCGACGTTCTATGAAATTGATTATATTTACCACAATGTTTTCAATCCTCCCGCGAATTCCATACCTATCTATGCTCTTTCTGTTTCAAAACGAATGGAAAAAGATGAGTAGGGCTAGAAAAGATCGCAGGGCTCGTGCTGATCCTTGAAAATTCTGATGTGGACGAGTTGTCATCTTGAAAACCCCGGTGTGCACGATTTCATGACTTTGTTCTACATGCTTGAAAACGATTTTTTCCAGCTCACAAGATCGCTTGTCGTAACGACGTCGCTTGGATGTTCGAGCAATGGGATGGCGATAACGATGGACTGCTTTCTAAGGTGAACATAAGACAAATAACAAAAAGTTCAAGGTTGAAGGGATAAATCTCTTGACGTTGATTAATCCCTTTCGGAATGTGCCGCGCACTCAGCGCACTTCCGGAATAGAAGTGGTGTTTTTAGATTAATTTATTGCATGGGTAGGCTCAAGTACCTGCTTGTCGCAGACTAGTTTGACGTCGTTCAATCAGCCCTAGAGGAATGAAGGACATGGTTTACATGGGAGTAATTGGGGGCAGGGAGCCTGCCACTGCACTTTCGTGAACAGGTGAACAAGAGAGGGGGTTATTGAGATGGCCGAAGAAACTCCTATTCCTCAGCTATTCCGCCTTTCTTCCCTGTCCCCCTTCTTCACCCTGGTTTCCACCAATTTCTGCGGGAAATGAAGGCGACGATGGCGCAATTATTGCTGAAAATTTGTTCGCCTTCAAGATGTTGTCAAATGAGCAATCGTGAACATAGCGCCATGACATTTGAGCTCAGCCATAACCATAACATGGAATTATTTATGAGAAAATGAATAACGATCACGGAATTTGGGCAACGATGACGAAGAGCAAACGGAACATGGTGAAATCAGACGCTGAAAAGGTGGTTAGGCAGTCTATTGAAAGCGCTGTGGCCGGCTTAGGAGGGGCATTTCACACTTTTGATGGTTCTCTGCGCCAGAATCCTGTCAAAATTCACGTCACCGGCCGCCTTGGTGGGACTTGAACTGCACAGAACGAAACTTTTGTTGCTATAGAAACTGTCTGAATTTACAAGAGGCGTCAGCACAGATTGATGGGACGCGCAGAAAATGCCCGTCGAAGCCAAGCTGTGTTGCCATTGAAAAACACATGATAAAAAAATTATTTTGGTGTAAATTTTAGTATTGTGCCCACTGAACTGCTACAATAGTACACTATGTATTATTAATATAATAGTATTTAAAAGTTAATATTCATAGTTAATAGTTTGATTTAAGTTTTAACATACTGTAGTTTTAAAAGTTAATATACACTCCATACCCCAGCAATTAAGAGGGCGTGGCTACGTACTTCATTCGAAGGTAGCAGCGGACGCGCTTTTGATGAGTAATTGCACGTGAGGGCAATTGTAATTATGTTTTTGTAAGGCAAAAGGTGAAATCAAAAGCTGACGAGCGAAAAACATTACAATTGTCCCCCAGCTGTAACTAAAAAAGGAGGGCATTTGTCTTGAATGAAAATACCCCACCCGACACAATTCGACGCCACTCTCAACAGAAGTACGCAACCCCACCCTCTCCGTTTCTGGGAATTGGAGTGTAAGTACGCGTAGCGGATAGCGCACTTGCCTGGCAAGTTATGGTTTCAACTCTCGC